TTATGAAAAATAAAATCATGTCGTTCATTGTCAATTCATCTAATTGATAGATGAATTGAAATTTGAAAGAGTTGATGAACTCTAAATTCGAGTGTAACCTAAAATTGTAGAGTTATCGTTAATGTTTGAGAACTTATATGAATAGTTCAAGATTTGTGGGTGCAATATTACTATTTGCACGTGCATTCCTAATTGAGGAATTGTGGTGATAACTTATTTTACAAGTTACATTCACTATATCTTATAATCATGGAAAAATTTCTATGAAGGTGAAAAGATAGGAAGTCTTTATACTAATTTTAGAAATATGAGGATGGTTCACAAATGTGATGCACTCTAAGTCAAAGTGAATAATTGAGATGAAAATTGATTATTGCATTTGTATTGGATATGCAATAACAATTGTTAGAATATTTGAAGAATATTCATAAATTGAACTTAGCGTAGTTAATACTAATTCAATTTAAATTGAATACCCATAATTCGAAATTCACTAATAAAATGTTTAACTGATGCAATAATGTGTTAGAAATTCTCTAACCAAATTGTTAATTGGAAGATGTTATAGATTTAGATAAAGGTAGATAAAAGTATACCACATGGGAGAATTTTTTAATTGGTGATAATTTGTATCTAGTGTGATGGCTAGCTATATATAATGAGATACGGAGTCACTTGTAATTGTATATATATAAATGTATGTCATAAAAATAATACTACAAAGGAGTTGATCTCTAATGGTGTGAACTCATGGATCCACTAAGAAAAGGTTTATCGAGAGATCAAGTAGACTGCATATCGAAGGGAATATGCTCAAAATCATACTACTTAAGAGCATTGTAATGTTAACCTAACCTTTTTAATTGAAATACCAAGATATTGGTTTAATGAGACAACTAACCTATAAAGATTCAATACGCATTTGGAAATTAACTCATACACATTCCTATGATAAGAAAAGGGTTATGTGCAAGAATGTTAAAAACGGTTAAGTTATACTTTTAATGATTCCTATATCTTGGAAGAGCCAAGTGGAGTATGATTTGATACTATAGGAGATCAAATATTCGGATAGGTTCCGATAGTCAAATAATGCACTAGTTAAATCACATAAGTAAATAGTATAACTTGTTCTACTCGTCGAATAGATGATCGTTGTATATTTGAAATCTCAAAATAATTTTGGATGAATGAGAAATTGTTTTCCAAAAAAGGAGAAAAATCGAATTTTTGATCATATAAACCTACCGTTTGAGCGACAGCTTGGCTCCAAGTTCCTGCTTTACGCGCTCAAGCGACAAGGCTATCAACCGTGAGCAACGTAAAGGGCTACATCCTTTCATGAAAAATAGAGTTTTTGGGCGTGTCTCTGCGGCCACTAGAGCTGGACATGGTCCGATTTAGTTCGGTTCTCTTACAAATTAAATGCACTATCTAACATTAAGAATGTTGAATTTCATCTAGTAAGAACGTCTAAAATAGCAAGTTTTTTACCTACAATCTTTTCTCTTTCAATACAACATTTAAATTTCATCAACTGAGAAGGAGACGATAAAAAATATCTGATGAAATTATGAAATTGGAAAGGGAATGATAAAAACTTAAAAATGCCTAAATCTTGGGCTAACAATGAAATTATAATTGGGCCAAAAAATTGAATTTAGAAATTGGGCTGGGCTGGGATAGCTAGGCATGGACTTGGCTTGGGAGTTGAAGCATTAGTCACTAAATTAGTTAATTTGCTAATTTGTTTAGAAAAAATTAAAATAATTTAATTAATTCAATATAAAAAATTAAAAAAATATATTTAAATTCGGTTCTTATTCGATTTTTCGATTCTTGGTTTAGAATCGAGAACCGAACCGAACTCATCAGTTCTCGATTCAGATACCCGTTCTGGTATTTAGCTTATGAAGAATCGTTCCATTCGGTTCGTAAGTTTTGTCCAGCCCTAGCGGCCATAACCCCTCATCCTCTATAATTGGACACCCTTATTGTTTCACAATCATTTCATATCATATTCATTTTTTTTTCAAAAATCATGTTGTTGGTAGAGAGAAAATACCGTTTCAATTTCGTTGGTCTACATAATTTGGAGTGATCATATTGCAGGACGTGGTCGTTGTATCTTGGAAGATAATTGTTGAAAAATCGTTAGTATCGTTGCAGCACAAATTCGTCTTAAGGAGAAAGAATTATACTCTTGCCTCGACCAATTCATAACATTTGCATTTCATACTTTTCGGTTTCGAATTCTTCTAAATTTTATTTCAATTCCAGTATGGAGAAAGAGAAAAGCTTGAATTGAAGAAACCGCTTCTCATTTCGTCTTCAAGTATTTGTCTTCGGTAAGTCGAAATTCTATTTGATTTCCTGCTTATAAAAAAGGTACGTTCTAGAATATAATGTATGCATGTTTGTAACTTATCCCCAACATTAGTGACATCTAAAAAAAATATTAATTGAAAAATAAAGGAAAAACAATAATGATTGGTGGAAACAATAAAATTTAAATTTAATGATTCTATTATGATCAAAATTATCTTTATTTATTCTTTGGAGACATTGGATAAAACTAGGATGCTATGAAAGAGTTATTGCATTTACTAAAAATGGTTGCAAATGAAACTAAAGAGACAAGTGGAATGCTCAATACATCATCCATGTATATTAGTAAAAAGGAAATATAGATAAAAATTAATATTTATTATACAGATGCAGTCCTCAGAGGTCTCCAATATTTAGTTTATTGTCTCAAAGGTGAAGAAGACATCTCAAAGATTTGCCATCTATAAGTAGCTGTAGAGCTTGGTTTATATTGGCAAATGGCATCTCATGAGTGATAAATTCATCCAACTTCACCTCCTGAAATGGTCAATAAATAATTTCAAGGTTATAATAATTAATTAAGAGGTAACAGGGAAGGGAAGTAGGTGCTTTACCCCATTCATGCATTGGTTGGCAAAGTGTGGCAATTGGGACTTCCCTTTGAAGTCTCCAAATACAGATCCTACGATTCTTCTGCCATCGAACAACTCCATTGGATGCAGAGGAAGCATCCTCGGTGTTGGGTGAATCCCCGAAACTACTGTCAATCCCCAACCCTGAAACAAACGTTAAAATCCTTAAAATTAAGGAAAAATTGAAGCCACGGTACCAAGCATTTTACATTTTTGCAAACTTTGTCCAAATATTTATTTTGTGCCATCCACGTTACCAAACCTTTAAACAATTCGCACCCGGAGTCCAAATGGACGGTTTCGGTCCAGTTGACCAAAAAAAGTCAAAATTGACCAAATTCATTAAGGACAAAATGGTACTTCTATAATTAATATTTTTGCAAATATTATTAATAATTAAAAAATAATTAAACTAAAAACAAAAAAAATTAAAAAAAAAAAAAGCCTCTCTTCAATCGTGTCGGCACCACTGTCGGCGCCCTGTCGCACTCCCACCGGCACCACCCCCCCCCCCCCCCCCCCCCAAACCCCACCCCCCCCCCCCCCCCCCCCCCACCCCCACCCCCCCCCCCCCACCCCCCACCCCCCCCCCCCC